ATTTCCGCCACGTCCACACGATAGCGCTTTCGCAGTGATAGGGGATTGCCGGAGATTTACTGTATCGGAAGGAAACTTTTTTGAAGAGTTAGGCGTTTCGATTTGCAGCTGTCATTCTTCGTCTTTGCTCAATCGGTAAATTTTCTCTACAGGCAGGCGATTGTCTAGAGTCTCTTTGAATGCTTATCGGTTGGCGGTATCAAATTCCGTTGCTTCTTGTTCAAGGTTTTTGCTTGCCCGTCATCCACCACCGGCATCACGGCGTTCTTTTCAACTCGCACAACCTCATGCAGTTCTGTCTCGCACATATCATCTGACTTGTAATGTGGTCCCAAAGGACGAGCCAAGATTTCATCTCCTGAGCAGAATCACTTCCAGCTGCCAACCATGCAGGGATGTTTAGTCGCCGGAATGGGACGTTTATGCGTACACCGCTGGGTGGCGCTAGCTCTTGGTCTAATTACATCGTGGTGAATGTGCGATCTCAGTGCCTTTGCGTGTTGTCCTGTAGTCCCAAGATTGAATTTATGTCGATGGCATATGATCCTCTGTAACAGTTGTTTGACCTCAGTCTTTCATATTGCCTTTCAGTCGAGAGCAATCTGCAACTACAATGCAAAGCCATTTCCAAGTCAATAATGTCGATAATTTTCATTTTGTTTTATCATTCCATCGTGGTTACTGAGCGAGATCACTAAGTCAACGCCTACTCATTTGATCAGAAGTCAGAGTTAATACAGATGCAGGTGGTCCTCTGTATCAATTACTTGATTTAATTCGTTAGGTCATACATCGCTCGAAGCATTATCTGAAACTTTCGCCATAATTATCAATTTCAAAGTTGGCACGTCGTCTGAACATTTCACTGTGACGACTGTACATGCTCATTAAACCAGAGCCACACATGCCTACCGTTAATAACCGCGAACAATACTAAATTTGTAGATGCATTAAAACGACAATTCTTCTATCCCGCAAAATAGCCGTCAAATTTAACCACCTGCCTTTTATGGTATTGACTTCATCGAAAATTATAACGGCTCGGTCATCGCTCGGGTTACCAAAGCCCATGCATGCTGCTCCGGGACAGAGGCAAACTGCGAAAAGTCGGCCATCAGAACCTGCTCATCGCCTTCTGCCAGCCGGGGAGCAGAGCAGCACAACAACGACTGATGAAGACCGACGGAACGAGTCTTTACCCGTTCTGAACGGAGGAGGGAGAAAGCGGGATGCCACTATAGCACGTCAGAAAAGGGCCCACGAGAACGACATCATCAGTGGGAACTAAAACTCGGAAAATGGAACAAATCCTCACCCAGAGGAAAAGAACAAGAGCTAGTTGACGAGGCCATAAAGTACCAACTCGGCATTGTTGTATTCTCGTAAACGAAACGCCAAGGCTCTGAGACTCTGGACCCTTCAATCTCAGCGGGTGCAAGCTGTTCTACTCAGGTGTCGATTTCAGGACGCGCGGTCAGGCTGGTGTTGGTGTTCTGGCGAAACCCAACCTCGCAAATAGAATCACTGATTGGAAGCCTGTCAGCTGAAGGGCTTTGATCCTCCAACTGAAGCTGCAACAAGCTAAAGCGCTGACCTTGTCTATGCGCCCAACCTGGAGGCAGAATATGTTACCTTCCTTGAGAAAGTGCAGTGTGCTCTGTCCGAAGTGCCGAATACAGAGTCCTTCATACTCATGGGCGATTTTAATGCGCACGTCGGTGTAGACGCAGAAAAGTGGAACGGCGTGATTGGAAAAAACGGCCCTAGCGACCTCAACAATAACGGCATGAAATTATTGCAGTTTTTTGCAAAAAACTGACTGTCCATTATGAACACCTTCTTCGAGTATCGAAGAGTGCATCCGCATATGTGGTACCGGTGAGCTTGTGCACAGAAGTTGATGATCGATTTGATAATCGTTTCATCTGGCTTACGACGCTTTGTAATAGATGTTCGCATTAAGACAAGCGCAGAGCTATCAACCAATCACCACCTTGTTGTTGGCACGCTGCGCTGTAAGAAAGGACTACCATACGAAGATCTGGTGGCAGAAACAACCAAAGAATGAAATGGGAAACATTATGTTCAGTGGATACGAGAACGAAGCTTGAAAGCAACATCGCACGACGATTAGAACAGATTCTGGTGATGACCGCCAATGTGGAAACCGAGTGGTGCTGTTTAAGAGTGGCATATTCGAGGCATCCGCTGAATACTACGGACTGAAACAGGTTTACCTGCTGCCTGGAAGTTAGAAAAAAACTCTGCTGGACACGCGAGATTCAACTGGCTGTCACCAACAAGAAATCGCTAGGGTAAAAAGTCTTCACCTCGCGTATGATGTGTCAAAGCAGCCAAGGCGTCAGCGGATGCAGTAGCGGAAGCAAAAGCTGATTTCTGGAAGAAGTTGGATGAGATATTGGAGTCGAATCACCGGACGACAAGCAGTATTCTAGCAGATCATCCGCTGACTCCGAGATGAAATAAAGGGCAGTCTAAGAGTCTTGAAGGACATGACTGGACACCTTCTCACCCCTCTCACCGAGGAAAACGACGCTCTTCAACGATGGAGAGAGTACTTTGAGGAACTTCTTAT